TGAAAGCTTGTAAGCCAGTCTCTTCTTTCCTTTGTAGCCACCCATTTTGGGTAGCCAGTGTCTAAGTTGCCCATCCCTGTCAACCCTGTGTACCGAGGGGGTGAGAATGATCCTCGCTGTGTACCGAGGGGGTGGGAAAGATTTATTCTCTCTTCTGAGCTACTACATCCATAAGTATAGGTCAAGTTTATCAAATTGTAGTGGATTACTCTTTTTTTCTTCCTCTAGTTGAGTTCTGATTATCCAGCCATTGAAAACCAGCTTAAATGGGTGCTGTCTGCAAGTGTGAGCATTCTTGTGCATCTCCCCTCACTTCATATCAGCTGAACACTTCACTCTCCACTCTAGTCTTCTGTGACTATGTCCTTGTCCCTGTGCCTCGAAGTCCCCAGGTCTCGCCATACTGTTAGCCAACCAGGTCTCCACCCGGGTTCACAGGAGTCTATTGAATGTGGTTGCATTATTTCACAACTTCATTGCTGTTTTTCCCCTACTTCCCCTTATCGGTGACCAACGTGGTCACCAGCCAGACCACATGCCTGCTCGTGTATTCCCCTTGAGTCTCAGTCATGGAAGGGGGTTTGCCCTCAGGGGATCTGACCCTTGCCTTGATGGCTCTCCAGCGAATAATTTGCTTGTCCTTGTAGTAGTCAATCAGACTGCCATTATTGTTTTTCCTTCTTTTTCTTACCCTGTTCACTTGTATGTGTATGTCCCCTAAATAGTGTATTTGGTGGAGATGTTCCATACCTTTCATACAGTCCTGTATCGGAGCATAAAGAGCTGCTTCACTTTTGAAAGTGGCTGCAGCCAGTTGTATTTTGCTGCATGATGGGCACTAGCTCATTCAACTTGGATGTCTCCTGTGGATACGCAGTTAGATGGTTTCCAGTGTGGCTCCATGAAAGATAGTGCTGTAGTGGACGACCTTGTAAGTGTTATTTTACATCTGTCAAGTCTGTTGGGAGTCCTGGTGTGGCACTATAGGATCAGCATTGGACGCTGTGGTTCAAACCCACCAGCCACTTTCAGAAACCCTATATGAGGCCGCTGTGAGTCAAAACCAACTCAGTGGCACATGACGACAAGTATATTAGTAGGATAAATTTATAAATGAAATTGCTGAAACATGCCAAAGGTATCAGTTTGATGTGTTTGATTCTGTGAGGTCCTTTAAGCAGTTATAAAAAGCCGTGGTGGTGGAGGGGATTATGAGTTGGGTTGCTAACTGCAAGGTCTGCAGTTTGATTCTACCAGCGACACCACTGGAGAAAGAGGAGGCTTTCTGCTCCTGTAAGGATTGACAGCCTTGGGAGCCCTCTATGGGGCCGCTGTGAGTGTGCCTGGCACAGAACCGCTACCACCACTGAAGGATAACGTATACTACTAAACGTGTTATATTACAGGATGAACTCATTCAGATTAACAAAAGATTTGACTACTTTAAAATGGATTATAGTATATTTTGTAGGTTAATAAACGGAATTGGCCATTGATTAACAAGATCTGTACTGTACCGAAGCAAAAACAATTAACATGTGAACAAACAAAACACAAAGCAAATATTATTTCTGAATTTAGAATTCTGGACTGACATGGTTTGAGAACATGGGAATTCGGTCCCCTGTATTATTTTAAACCTTCTTCACACATTTCCTTGTTTTTTCCTGAGCTGGGGCTGACATTGATGCACTAAATTGTGTGGTTGTCAATAATTACCACATGTCATCTGGATGCCCTTCAGTCAGCGATTGTTGAAAATCAAGTCCCCTGTGCATTTGACCTTGATAGGAGGATGGATGTCCTTCGTGGTTAGCCTTACTGTTACACAGTTACCTAAAGGACCATCCAGCTGGTACAAAAGTACCTTCTACATCCTAGGGAGATGAGTTAGGCAGGGGCTTGGGCTTTGGGATGTGAAACTCCAAGTTAAGAGAAGGCATAAATATTAGACAACTGTGTCACGTAGATTGTCCTGGTCAGCTCATAGATCCTCTTGGACAGCTTCCCATTCTTTTGCAATGGGCTTCATTATTGAATCTCATGAAAGTATCTTTACTTTAAACATCCTCCTGTTGTGCTGTGTTTTACAGTTGTGAACAACTGATGCTATCTTTGGCACCTTCTCCTCACCTTCGAGCCCAGGCATCTAATGGTCTTTAGAGGAACGGTTCATTTAATCTTTCGATCAGCAGCCACTCCAGCCCCCAAGTATCTGTGTCCGTCTGTCCAGCCCCACCACATGCTACAGACAGCCACATGAATGTAGCCGGATACTGGTATTTCCATGTTCCTTGAGTATCTGCGTCCTTCTGTCCAGCCCATGCTACAGACAGACCCGTAAATGTCGCCGTATACTGGTATTGCACATAAATGTAGCTGGATACTGGTATTTCCAAAGAGCTCTGGTAGTATAGTGGTTACAAGTTGGGCTACGAACCTCAGGGTCAGTATTTTGAAACTACCAGCTGTTCCTCTGGAGAAAGATGAAGCTTTCTGTTCCCATAAAGATCTACAGCCTTGGAAACCCTGTACAGGTTAACTGAGTCGGAAGCGACTCCACAGCACACCACCACCACCACTGCTGGTATTACCAGGACCTGAAGCTTTCACCTAGTCATGGGTGTTTGCTGAATGAAGACATAGACTTTACCTGAAAGGGATTCACCTTGTGGACGGGAGACACCAGCTGTCCTCCTCCTGTCACATGGTCCAGGTTGTGCTTTACTCGGAGTGCTGTGTGATCCCTGTGGTGCCCACCAGGAAGGGCATGGCGGCATAGGAAAAGTGGTTTTTCATCTGGTTGGGTCTTGAAAGGAGACGCTCGAAGAGGAGTCATGAGACCCGCATCAGATGAGAGAAAGGAGTGTTAGCAAATGCAGGAGCCTGCCCTTGGGATGTGTCCTGTGGGAGAAGGTGAGAGCAGTTACTGAGGGAACTTTGAAGCTGCCTTTACTGCAGCCTTAAAGAGTCAAGACTTGATATCACTGGCCTTAGGGGGCCAGGTGAGGCTGGTAGACAGTGGACCCGTCCTTCGTAACAGTGAGCTGATGATGCTTTCTGCCTTGCTCTAGGATCCCAGAATTCCTCATTTTGGTCTTTGCTATTTAGTCTGTGGTAGCGTAATGGTTATGAGTCAGACTGCTGCTCAGCTCAAGGTCAGCAGTTTGAAACTACCAGCTGTTCCATGGTAGAAAGATGAGGCTTTCTGCTCCTATAAAGATTTACAGCCTCAGAAACCCTACACAGGGTTGCTCTGAGTCTGAACTGTCTCCAAGGCACATAACCAGCATCATTTAGTCCATCGGTCCTCTCCAGTAGCAAGGACGATTGAGATTTGACTTTGCAGAGCCATGATGCATGCACCACCCCCACCGCACCCCCATTGTGTGTGAGAAAGAGTTGCTGATGGAAGGGGACATGTGTCCTTGATGGGGAATCTCTCCACTTCGTATGCCCCCCATCTTCCTGTTTGTTTTCATGCTGCAGAACAGCTAGCCAGAGTCCCCGACCTCCACAGTTCCATGCCACCCACTTCATGCCTCTCTCGTTCCCTCCACAGAAATAGAAAAGTTTCAAAAAGGAGAAAGCAAGGAAGAAGAGAAATACATTGACGTGGTGATTAATAAGAACATGAAGCTGGGACAGAAAGTGCTAATTCCTGTAAAACAATTCCCTAAGGTAAGCCGGTGAGGGCTGCGCCTCAGGGGTCTCAAGGGAGCAAATATTTCATTTCTGTTGTTTCGCATTATCCAGAGATGTTTTCCCTTTAAAAGTTCATTACAGACTGATTTAGTTTTAAGTAAATAGTTATGTTTTGCCAACCATGCAACACGTCCCCCCCACCGTGTGCCACCCCAGCACTATTTTTGTAAGTGCACCCTGCCAGGCGTTATTTGTGTGGCCTATTTACCCTGGCATGATTTTTCTAAGAAATACGGAGTCCTGGTGTGATGCTGTGGGATAAAGCCACATCCCAGAAACCCTGTATGGGGTTGCTCTGAGTCGGAACCAGCTTGATGGCACTCAACAACAACAACAACAATAGTAGTGATTCTGTCTTTTGCATTTGACTTTGGTGTGAACAGGATGAAGGGCTAAAAAACTGGGCTTCGGATTGCAACCTACTAGCTATATGACTTGGGGCTTCTCTCTCCACCTTTGTTTTCTTGTGGGTGAGATGATGTTGAGTTGTGAAGATTTAAATAAAACTTTCTGTTAAATGCTTAGCATGGTACTTGGCACATTAGTATTCAGAAAGTATCTATCCTAATTTCATTTAAATCTTGACATTTTTTCTTCTTTTCTTTCCTGTGAGTGCCCATGTCTGCATGACTCATGCTTACAGTCATAGAAACGTATCCATAGTTCATTTAAAAAGCCTTTTCAGTAATCCTCCACTATGGAAAACTACCACAAGTTTGTTTAGCCATTTGTCAGGACTCTTTCCAGTTTGGGGTGTTTATAAATTGAGTTGCTGTGGCCATTTTCCTACAACTCCTTTTATGACTTCGTGTCCATGGTTCTGTTGGGTACAAACCTAGAATCAAGATTGTTGTGTGCTTACAGTTAGGAGAAATTGCTGTACCTTTTTCCAAAGTGATTGTATCGTGTTAACATTTCCATGAACCGTGCTTGCAAATGTGTGGTCTCTCCACATCTTTATCAATGTTTTTAATGTCAGTCTTCATTGTTTTAGCCAATCTAATGGTATCTTGCTGTAATGTTAATTTGCATTTCCCTGGTCATTTTTTATACTTAATGGCTATTCATGTTTCTTCTGTTCTAAAGCCTCTGTTCAAATCTTTTGCCCATTTCTGAATGGGCTGGAGTCTTCATCTCATTGCATCTTGGGAACGTTTTATAGTCCCGGGATAAATACCAGTCTTCTGTTAGTTAGACCTTTAGTGAAGGTTTAGCTCAGGCTTGTCATAAGTAGAAGGTTTGCATTTTGATGGGATCTAATATATCAGGTGAGTTTTGCATTACCTTCTGTGAACTATGAACTCTTTGTCAGTTCTCAGGAAATGTTGTGTCCTTTATGACATGAATTATAAAGATATTCTCCAGTGTATTTTCCTGAAAACATTATAATTTCAGCATTTAGTTTTAGGATTGCATGTGAGAAACAGTTCAGATTTTATTGTTTTTCCCCCATATGGATATTAATTTTCTAGCCCCATTCGTTTAGAGATATTTTCACACTAGTGATTGTTTTGTCAGTCTTGATGAAAATCCGATGATACGTGAATAGGGGCATATTTCTGGGCTTCCTACTAGTCCATCCATCGATTCATTGATCCTTATGCCAGTACCATACCACCTTGTTTACTATAGCTTTGTTTGAAGGTAAGGAAATAGAAACCTTCCAACTCTGTCCTTCTTTTTCAACGCTGCTTAGATATACTCGACCTTTTGCAATTCCATATCAATCTGAGACCCTGTGTGTCAGTTCCCACAGAATGATCTGCTGGTGTTGTGATTATAATTGTATTGAATCTGTTGATCATTTTGGTGATATTTGACTTCTGCACAGTTACCCTCGTGGTGTGAAGTGCTCAGCTGCTAACTGAAAGATGTGCACTTTGACCCCACCAGCTGCTCTGTGCCCTAAAGTTGTGGTGGTCTGCTTCTGTAAAGACTTACAGCCTGGGAAAGCTGGGGCAGGACACTGTGAGTCAGAACCCACTCAACAGCACGTCACAAATGTCCATTCTTGGACCATGGCGTGGCGTCTCTCTCCATTTGTGACAATCTCCTTTCATTTCTGTCACAGTGTTTTGTACATTTCAGGCTTAAGGGTTTTATATGCATTTGTTAAACTTATCCCTAAATGCCATATGCTTTTTGAAACTGTTGTAAATTGAGTACTTTTAAATTTTCCTGTAAAATTTTTTTGTTTCTACTATAAATTGTGTTGACGTTGTACTCTGCCATCTTGCAATATTCACTTGATTCTAGTAAATTGTTTTGTAGATTCCTTAGGCTGTTTATGGAAATCATCATATCATCTGCATAAATGGTTGTATTTCTTTCCTTCCAATTTGTATATACATTATTTTTTTCTCTTGCATTATCGCATAGGCTAAAATTGCCAGGGTATTGTTGAAAACAAGTGGACATCTTTTCCTTGTTTCCGATCTTAGGAGGCGAGCATTCTGATTTTACTGTGTGGTGGTGGTGGTGTGCCGTGGAGTTGCTTCTGACTCATAGCGACCCTGTGTAGGGTTTCTGAGGCTGTAAATCCTCGCTCCAACTCATAACCACTATGCAACCAGAGCTCCTTGTCATAAAGAATGAGATTAGCTGCAGATTTGTTGTTGTTGTTAGGTGCCTTCAAGTTGGTTGTGACTGTAGCAACCCTCTTCACAACACAATGAAGCACTGCCCACCCCTGCTTCATCCTCACAGTCATTCCTGGGTTCGAGCCCTTGCTGAGCCACTGTGTCAGTCCATCTTGTTGAGGAGCTTCCTCTTTTACATTGTCCCTCTCTACTTTATCAAGCATGATATCCTTTTCCAGAGATTGGTCCCTCCTGATAGCATACCCTAATGATGTGAGACAAAGTCACACACCATTCTGGCTTCTAAGAAGCATTCTGGCTGTACTTTTTCTAAGATAGATTTGCTCTTTCCGCTAGCAGGCTGTGGCATGTTTATATTTTTCACCACCTTTCCCATTCAAAGGTATCTGGTTTTCTTGAGTGTTCCTTGGTCGTTGTCCAGTCTTCACATGCAGGTGAGGACATTGAAAAGACCCTGGCTTGGGTCTTGTGCATCTGCTTGACATCTTTGCTCTTGAACACTTTAATGGGACCTTTTTTAGCAGATTCTTTCTTATGTCATCTTCATTTTGCTGTTAAAATTACAAGATGCATTTTTTTATGTCAGGTGTTGTAATTTTCTGTTTAAGTATTTACATTTGATTCATTTATACACTTGTGTGTGTGCCTATATATGTGTGTGTGTGTGCCTGTATGTATATATATATATATAGAGAGAGAGAGAGAGAGAGAGTGCTACCAGAGCACTCTCTATGTAGAGCTACCCTGTATAGGGTTTCTGAGGAGTGGTTGATGGATTGAACTGCTAACCTTGTGACTCAACCTGACCTGTGGACCAACGCATTACCCTGCAGCACCACACCAGGACTCCATAAACATCTTTCCATTTATACATCTATGTGTATATGGAGTCTTGATGTGGTGCAGTGGGATAAAGCATTGGACCACAAGGTCTGTTTGAACAGCAAAGTCGGCAGTTCAAACTCACCAGCCACTCCTTAGAAACCCTATGCAGGGTCACTATGAGTTGTAACCGACTTGACAGCAGCACAAAACAACACACACAGACACATACACTTACACACATATACATATATAAACATACATATATACATACACATATAGGTGGCCATAAAAATTCTGTGGAAAAATGGAATTACAAGGTAACGGAAATTTTCCATGATCCTTTTGAAGGCCCCTCGTATATGTCAGATAGATGCTTTGAAGTGCCCATTTACTAATTCCCAAATCCTAGTCAGATCCAGTTTGACCTTTGCTTGATGAAGTCATATTGTTGTAGTCGTTTCCAAGTTGACTTATTTTGTATTGTGCTGAGGGCATTGGGAATGATGTGTAGTGTACACTCTGGATCTTCCTAGACTCCTCTGAAGAATGTTGATCATTTTATATTAGTAGTTGTTAACAAGTGTGGATTCAAAGTGTAAACTTTGTATTTGGGAGAGAAGTTCAGACTTCATTTCAGGTGTTTCCTTACTGTGCCTCTTGACTATTTCTTTCCATGCTGATTCGGGGTCAGCATTTGGGTTACAAGCTGGCTTGCTAACTGCAGGGTCAGCAGCTTGAATCAACCAGTTGTTTCTTGTGAGAAAGGTGAGGCCTTCTGCTCCCATAAAGATTTATAGCCTCGGGAGCCCTGTACTAGGTCACTGTGAGTTGGAATCAACTTTTTGGCACAAAACCCAGTCCCAGCACCATATTCACCCTGTGGAACTCCCCACCTCTGCCTCTCTCTTTCCTGGTATTTTTCCTTCATGCTTCAGCATTTGTGTTGTCCTGAATTTGGTCGCTCAGGTTAAAGGCAGTACAATCAGTAAATTCACCCCAAGTCTCCATTCCCGCCTTCCAAGATCTACTCCTTTGTCAGAAGCTGCCTGATTTTGATCACTTCCAGAGACTTCACTTGATTAGATTATTGTATTTTGCTCAGAGTTTATAGCTATTGTCTACAAATGGTGTGTCTGTAGGGAGATTCCTCAGGCATACCTGCAGAACTGGGGTGTGCGTTGCAACTTCACAGAAAACCTCTTGGTAAGTGCTTCGTGGGTAGTCTCACTGTTGAGCAGAAGGTGCCTCATGGACACCTTTCTAGTTGGGTTGTCTGTGCTCAGTATTCTCTATGTGGCCGAAACGCCATAAAGAGAAACAGACATTGGTCCGATGTCAGTGCCAGGTAACCGAGTAGGTGGATGAGGACACGTGTGAAGCAAAATGAAGTCTGTCAGTACAGTGTATCCAATTCAAGTGCTGCTTCTCAGCGTCCCCTGTGAGGAGACAGGAAAAGACCAACGGTCATTTCTGTGTCTGACAGAACACTGCATCCATTCCAACTACTCAAAATGTCTGAAGTCGGCTGCTTAGAAACCTGTCACATTTGGA